CTATGAGACTCTTATTTCCAATTAACTAGCAAAAAGCTGAAGTGGAACCTGTGGCTCAAGTGGTAGAATGTCAGCCTTAAGCAAAATAAAAACTCAGTGTCCAGACCGTAAGTTCAAACCCCAGTCCTGGCACACATACACAACAAAAGGGTATAGTGGGAGAGCTATATCATAGAGAATCATTGAGATCATCTTCAAAAAGTACAAAAATAAATGATCATTGAAAGCTGGTAGGATTTCTGGTTAGAATGCAGGATCCAAAAGACCCTTGTTTCCATGGTAACAACTAGAAAGACTCAGGGCATGCATTATACTTTTCTCTAAATTACTATTTTTTCTTTTTGAGACTAAGTCTTTAAAAAAAACCCAGCCTGGGCTGACTTTGTATTTGTGATTTTCCTACTTTTGCCTCCCCCATGCTAAGATTACAGGTGTATACTACCACACACATCCCTATGCTGTACTTTTCAATACAGCTGGTTAAGAGATAGAAGTAGCCAAAGTGAAGCAAGTGCTGGCTGCTCACACCTGATTTAGGAGGCTGAGATCTGAGGATTGCACTTTGAAGCCAGTCTGGGAAGGAAAGGCTGTGAGACTCTTAAAGCTCCAATGAACCACCCAAAAGCCAGAGGTAGAGCTGTGACTCAAGGGTCTAGAGTGCTAACCTTGAGAGAAAAAGCTCAGAGACAGCACACAGAGTTCAAGCTCTAAGACTGGTATCCACAAATGAAACCCTGATACATGCACAAAGTAGAATATAATTCATCTGCAAAGAATGAGAACTTTGGGTGTGGTTCAGTGGTAGAGCACTTGCCTAGCATGTGTGAGTCTCTGGGTTTGATCTTCATCAGGAAAAGAAAAGACTAGAATCCTGTTGTTGGCACTGGAACTGGAGACTATCACTTTATGTGAAATAGGCATAGTGAGACAGATACCACCTAGGCAATTCATTTGTGGAAATGGAAAAAAATAAATCTTTGGCAACAAGAAAGGTTGGGGAGGGCACTGATGGCTTACACTTGTAATCTTAGCTACTCAGGAGGCTGAAATGTGAGGATCAGTATTCAAAGCCAGCCTGGGATGGAAAGTCCGTGAGACTCTTCTCTCTAATTAACCACCAGAAAACCAGAAGTGGTGCTATGGCTCAAGTGGTAGAGTGCTAGCCTTGAGTGAAAAGGCTCAGGGACAGCACCCAGTCCCTGAGTTCAAGCCCCACAACTGACAAAAAAAACTAAAATAAGATAAAAAGAATCAGAAGTATGTAAAAGTGGGGCTGGGAAGGTGGCTTAGTGGTAGAGTGCTTGCCTAACATGCATGAAGCCCTGGATTCCATTCCTCAGCACCACATAAGCAGAAAAAGCTGGAAGTGGCTCTGTGACTCAAGTGGTAGAGTGATAGCCTTGAAAAAAAAAAGCAGCTCAGACCCGGGCACCGGTGGCTCACACCTGTCATCCTAGCTACTCAGGAAGCTGAGTTCTGAGGATAGCAGTTCAAAGCCAGCCTGGGCAAGGAAAGTCCGTGAGACTCTTATCTCCAATAAACCACTAGAAAACTGGAAGTGGCGCTGTGGCCCTCTCCCCCCATCCCAGGCCCAGCATTAGAAAGAAAAGGGTCCATTTCTGACAGCCTGGATGTGGGTTTGAGGTGAGGATGCTTAAGGTTCTGAACTCCGTGTGAGAGTACAAAATGTACTCTGGAATTGGAGAGACCAGTGTTAAGGTGGAAGAAGAGCCTGGACTGATATACCTGGTCAAGGAGGAACCACATCATTGGGGCTGGCCAGGGACTTGGTGATGAAGATGTTTGTTTGGTGCATGTTAGGATTTCACAGGACACCCAAGGAATTATATATTTTTAAGGAATTATATATCTTAAGGTAATTACAACTGAAGTACAGGCCTGTTCTAGATTGCAAGAAAAGATGATAGGTCCACTGCATCTTGTGAAGGGGCGCTGGACTGAGGAGAGTACCTGTTGGGAGATGGGTGTGACAATGTAAAAATGCCAGATGTATGAGTTATGTGCCTGGGGCTCCGCTTGAGTCTGGGCCATGAGTTGTACAGTTCCCAGAACACCAAGAACAAGGAAAAACATTATGCAGAATAGAAGAAGGTAAGAGAGGGAAAAAGAAAGTGGGGAAAGGTTGGCCGGGCGCTGGTGGCTCACGCCTGTAATCCTAGCTACTCAGGAGGCTGAGATCTGAGGATCATGGTTCAAAGCCAGTCCGGGCAGGAGAGACCGTGAGACTCCTATCTCCAATAAACCACCAGAAAACCGGAAGTGGTGCTGTAGCTCAAGTGGTAGAGTGCTCGCCTTGAGCTGAAGAGCTGAGGGACAGTGAGCGCCCAGAGTTCAAGCCCCACGGCTGACAAAAAAAAAAAAAGAAGAAAAAAGAAAGTGGGAAAAGGTATATATCTCTTTTGGGGTAAAGTTGGATAACATGTCTTGCAAGTATAAATTAGAAACTCAATCTAGGACAAAAGGAAGGGTAGGAGGCCCTGGGGTAGAAACAGAGTTTGGTCCACAATATATGGAGAAATGGATAGTAGTGGGATTGGGAGAAATGGGGGGTTACTCATCCATGGAGACCATGTACTCAGGATGTTTTGATGTTGTTGAGACAGAGGTCCTGTGGTGTAGGAGGGTGGCATGGGCTGATGGAGCTTTACATTACAGTTGTGATTCCAATGTGGGTGGCCCTGGACCTTCGAGGTCCAGGTGGAAAGCATAATAGGGTAGAGACCAACCCATTTAGTAGGTAGAGAAGGGGGGAACAGGAGGTACAGAGGGAGGGCTTAGAAGTGGCAGAGAAAGAAAAAGCTTGTATGTAGGGAATCTCTTTCCATTTTTCCAAGTGCTTACAGAAGTTGTAAAAGTACCACAAAATTCTGAGATCCAGGGTGCCCTTAAGTGGCCACTTTGAGTTGTGGTTGAATGTATGGAGGGGGAAATTTGGTTCTACAACTGAACAGGCCGGGTAAGAAGACCTCCCAAGTTGGGGGTCAGAGGGGATGTGTGAGAAGGACTCTCCCATGATGGGGAGGGAATGGTACTAGTTATGAGGGACAGTGGGCATCCTCAAAACTTGCTCGACTGGTAAAAGTATGGAGGAGATGTGTAGTGGGTGGAGGGAGTCCCAGAGCTTGGTACTAAGACTTTGGGAAATCAGTAACGGAACTCATTCACCAAGGAAGATCAGTGGATGTAGATGGCCGCTGCCCGCTGGTGGATGGAAAGTGAGAACATGAGGAGATGGGAGAGAATACCTTGGGTGATTTTCTGGGTAGACCAGAGGGGTCGGGGTTCCTGAAGCAGCTCAGATCCCCCAAGAGTGGGAAGAACAAGATCAACGGAGGGGCCCTGATCCGAGTCATGGCACCAGTGAAAGGCTTTCCAAGAAAAATCGCTCAGGTACTTGGCCACATACAACGGAAAAGGAGTTTTAATGTCAGTAACATGACAGGCTACCTCGCAGGCAGAGAATAGCAGCTGAGCAGGGCTGTAAGTACAGTTTTTCTTCTTTTTTTTTCTTTTTTTTTGGGTCCAGTCGTGGGCCTGAACTCTGGGTCTGGGTGCTGTCCCTCAGCTCTTCAGCTCAAGGCTAGCGCTTTACCGCTTGAGTCACAGTGCCACTTCTGGCTTTTTTCTTTTTGCTTATGTGGTGCTGAGGAATCGAACCCAGGGCCTTAAGCATGCAAGGCAAGTGCTCTACCACTGCTCTACCACTGAGCCACCTTCCCAGCCCTGTAAGTACAGTTTTATAAGGTTGGGTTCATGTGGAATATGAGAAAGAGACACTGAGTTGTGGAAAGGGTTAACATTTACAGATATAGCTTCACAAACAAGGGAGAGGGAAAATTGTATTAGGGGGAGGGGTTGCCATTTGAGATTGCAGCCACCTGCAGTCACCTGTTTTCAGGTAAAAGTGTCACCTGATTTCAGGGAAAAGCAGTTTTTGGTAAAAGTCTAAGGTGGCAGACTGGGTAAGAAGATGGAGGAGGAAAGGCTAACATCAGGGATCTCCTTTTTTTTTTAAGTCATTTTTGAGATATAGTCTATTGATTTTGCCTGAACTCAGCATCAATGAGCCTTCTCCCCCTTTCCTTTCGCAAAGATTCGGAGGCCCAGTGCTGGTGTGGAGATGCAGGCGTGGGACTGGTGATGTCCTTCTGTGGGAGATTTTCTCACATTGAGAAGAATGTTCTCATACAAAAGGCCCACAAAGGTGGTGCTGGTGGCTCAAGCCTGTGATGCTAGCTACTCAGGAGGCTGAGATCTGAGGACTTCCTGGGCAGAAAAGTCCATGACCCTCTTCTCTCCAATGAACCACCAAAGAGCTGGAAGTGGAGCTGTAACCCAAGTGGTAGAGTGCTAGCCTTGAGGAAAAGGAGCTCAGGGACTGTGTCCAGGCCCTGAATTCAAGCCCCAGGAACCACACACACACACACACACACACACACACACACACACACACATGCACACACAAACACACACACACAGAAGACAAAGGAAGGCTCATGTGGGAGTGAGCTGGCCATGTCACATGTTTCATGTAGAGCAACGTCTGTATGTCTATAATCTCAGCCATTTTCCCTGCTGAGGACCCACAGTTGACACTCATGTGAGTTCAGAACCTGAAACTTGGCCATGACAGCGGAGCCAGGGAGCCAGCCCACTGCACAGCTGAGGGAAACTGAGGCTCCAGCAGGTGGGGGCTGAGAATCGGTCATGCCTGGGGGAGCAATAGGGCAGGTGACCCCATAATTCACTGTCCAAACCGCCCTCCCTCCCCCCAGCACCCTCTCTTCTGGCTACATCAGGCATTGAGTTTCAGCCACCAACTTTCTGGGGCAGGGCGGGGATGTTCTCATCCTGTTCCTTGTTCTTCTTCCTCACTCAGAGAAATGGGCCTCAGCGGGGACTGTGGAGGTCAATATAGGGGTCAAATAAACCCCATGCCAGAGAGGAGACAGACAGAGGGCAGGAGAGAGGGGAGGAAGATGGCCAGAGAGCAGAAGGACCGGCAGCCAGTCAACCCAGGTGAGCTGGGGCCACTCTGGATGCTGCTGGAAAAGATGGGGTGCAGGTTCAGGGGTGGGGTGTGGGTCCAGTCTCAGGCTCAGGACTGGGAGTGCATGACCGAGTCTGCAGGCCTGCACATCTGAGCTCAGCCCTGTGCTCTGCCCCTTGCAGAGGTGGTCACTCCAAGAGGCTGGGCGGTCTCCAGGACAGCCCTGAGCTCAGGGCTCTCAGCTCCAAGGACCGGCCAGGTACTCGCCAGGGTGCTGGGGAAAGTAGGGGATCAGGGGTCCCCTCCAGGACAGGGGCAGAGGAGGGCAGGATCGGCCCCTGAGAGCCCAGCTCTGCCCCCATCTGCCGGTCCTGCAGAGCATCTGCCCCGCACCCCCTGGCTTCCCTTGCTGACCCTGCTGTGTCTGGGCCTCTGTGTGGTGCTCGGGGTGACCACAGTGGTTCAGGGTGAGTGAGGCTGGGGCTGGCCTGCTGGGCGGGGGCTTGGAGTTGGGGGGCTCACTGTCCTCTGGGGGTGACACTTGGTGGGTCCCTAGGCCCAGTGGGACTGGGATGTCCTGGCTGCCCCGCCCCCTGGGTAGCATGGCAGTGTACTGTCCCCCACACCCCCAAGCCCGACTCTCCATCCATGGAGACAGGAGGCCTTGGCCCCGGATTGTGTACACAGTGGGTGCTCATGAAGCCTGGGCTCTTCTCTCTGCAGTCTTCCGGATCCACTGCTCCCACCAAGAGAGGCACAGGCCCTGGAGAGCATGCAAGCTGGGGTGAGGGGCTGGACATGGGGTGGGGGGTGAGGTGGGGCTCAGGCTGTGGACAAGGTCCCTGGGCGGGTGTGCAGGTGTGAGGGCAGGAACCCCAAGGGAGGGCGCAGGCACTGGTGAGTGCCACAGGTCTCTGTCTGAGGTTCAGCGGTCTGCTCCAGGAACTGAGATTTGAGGGTCACTGTAACCCCAAGACAATGTTCTCACCAGGCATCCTCCATGCCAGGCACACAGCAGGCGCTTAATCATTGCAGTACTCTTCTTCTAATTCCTCAGGACCTCATTCAGTCAGGCTTGGAGCAGATCCACCAGCAGCTCAGTCACATCAACACCTCCCTGGGTAAGGCTCCAATGGCCGGGACAGAGGAAGTTGTGGGTTCATGGGAGAGGGTAGGGACCCCTCTGTGTTGTCAGCCTGAGGCAGCCACAGTAGAGCTGGGGTCTCTCATGCGTTCCCTAGTCGACCTGACAGCCCAATGCAGGGGCCTGGCTCTGGGTTATGAAGGCCTGGGCGGGGGGCAGAGGAGGTGTCTCTGGAGCCAAAGCCCCTCTCCCCCAGCTCAGCATCATCCCTGGCCCCCAGCTGTCCTGTGCAGGCCCTGCCCCTGGGTTTGGGAGCCCTTCCAGGGGAGCTGCTACCTCTTCTTGCACACCCTGGGGAGCTGGGAGGCCTCTGTCTCCTCCTGCCAGGACCTGGGGGCCCACCTGGTGGTTGTCAACAGCATTGCAGAGCAGGTGAGGGGACCTCCTTGCCTGGGCCTGGGATGGGGGGAGAGGGCCACAAAGGTCCTCTGCTGGGTGGGCAGCTGGTGGAGGGTAGGGGGAGATGCAGTCAGAGAAGGCTTCCTGGAGGAAGACTTCTAGTAGGCCTGTGACATGGGCATGGACTGAGACACAAGCCAGGACATTCCATCATATGTGTGTATGTATCTACATCCACAGCATGTATGTTTGTGCCAGTGCAGATGTGATGAGGAGCTCTAGGCTGGACTGCAGAAAGAACTTCCAGGGAGGGAGAGCAGAACAGGAGTATTTGCATAGTAAATGGTGTTCAGGGGTCTTCTTCCTGTTCCTCCCCTCCCCAGAGGTTTCTGAGGTACTGGGACATCAGGAAGAACAAGCATACTTGGATCGGCCTCAGTGACCTCAGAAGTGAGGGCTCCTGGCACTGGGTGGGACAACAGCACCCTCATTCTCAGGTGAGCCCCAGAGGCTAGCAGTTTAGCACTTGAGCCACAGCTCTACTTCCGGCTTTTTGGTGGTCCATTGGAATTAAGAATCTCATGGACTTTCCTTCCTGGGCTGGCTTTGAACCTTGATCCTCAAAGCTCAGTCTCCTGAGTATCTAGGATGACAGGTGTGAGCCACCAATGCCCAGCCCAAGAAACATACTAAATGTGGCGTTCTGAGATTTGGGGGGTGGGTGGCTGGGTGACAGTTTTGGTCTAATGAGCCTGGGGGATGTTTGAATGTACATTTTGGAAAGCCCTGGCCCCCAATTCCTGGATAATTGTTTTTTGGAGATCAGTGACCCCACATTGCAAAGGCAGTTTAGAGAAGGGGCTGGGTGATCTGGGGGTTCATTCGCTCTGCAATGGTGTTTCCTAGTTTCTGGAAAGAGGGGGAACCCAATAACAATGAGGATGAGGACTGCGTAGAGCTGTTTATGGACGAGTAGAATGACAGTGCACTGCCCAAAACTTCTGGGTCTGTGAATATCCCTCAGTCCTCTGCCCTGACCTTTGAGGGACTCTGCTGCCCATGTGTTCATGGACTTGGGGTGCAGGGCCTGCTCTTCAGCTCCATCTCAATCCTTATGTCTTCTGCACCAAGATCTTTGCATCAACTTCCCCATGGCTGCCCCTCCCTGAGCCACTGCGCCTCCCTCCTCCTCTACGAAGGTCCCAGCCCCTCTTTCCAGCCCAGGGCCTCCCCTCAACCATGTCACACTGGGCACCCCAAGCTCAGTGGCACAGCACCTGCCTGGCACCACAAAGAAATAAATGAATTCCCATGTGGTGTGATGTGTTCCATTCAATCTATTGTTGTTATTTCCTGGGGCTGTTTTAATTAGTGTAGCTTTGGAACAGGTTCAATGGTAATAGAATCTTGTCATCTTTCAATGTCTGTGGTCTACTACTGTGTGTTTCCTAGATGCATTTTTGAGTCAGGTTTTAATTTAGGTTTGGAATACGCACACATCTCTCCATTCATTCCTTCATAAACCAATGATCATTCAGTGCCCTTCATTAAAATGTTACGGTTTTCTTCCTGTATATGTTTTAGATTATGATGCAGAGTTTTATGATACTGTGACAAATTATCACAAACTCAATGGGTTAAAAATGTCAAAAGTTAGCCGGCGCCAGTGGCTCATGCCTGTAATCCTAGCTATTCAGGAGGCTGAGATCTCAGGATTGCGGTTCAAAGCCAGCCCTGGCCTGAAAGTCTGTGAGACTTATCTCCAATAAGCCACCAGAAAACTGGAAGTGGCACTGTGGCTCAAGTAGTAGAGTGCTCGCCTTGAGCTGAAGAGTGCAGGTACAGCACCTAAGCCCAGAGTTCAAGCCCCACGACTGACAAAAAAAACAAAAAACAACCCCCCCCCAAAAGTTAAAAGGTAGTGGGTGCTACAGGTGGCTCACACCTGTAATTTTAGCTACTCAGGAGGTTGAGATCTGAGTATCACAGTTTGTAGCCAGCCCAGGCAAAAATTCCATGAGACCCTGATCTTCAATAAACTACTCAGAAAAAGCTGGAAGTGGAGCTATGGCTCAAGTGGTAGAGTATCAGCCTTAAGCCAAAAAAGCTCAGGAACATGCCCAGGCCAAGTTCAAGACTCTGGATTGCAGTGTGTGAATGTGTGTGTGTGTGTGTGTGTGTGTGTGTGTGTGTACATCAAAATCTTACTCTCACAGATCTGGAGTCTAGAGCTTGTTTATTATTTCTCTTGCTCTCAGAAAGGGACCCCACTGGGTCCCCACTTCGTGCTGGGCGAGAGGCAGGACACACACAGCCCTCTGAGCTTGGGCCCCCTGGGTTTCTCAACCATCCGTACAGTGCCACCAGCCTCTCCAGGCAGCCTCTGCCACAGGCTGACAGCACAGAGCCCACAATCCTGCCTCCTTACCTCTGCCTAGGCTGGGCCTCCTCCTGCTCTGCCTCCCCTCCTCCATCATCCCACAAACCTCAGGAGTTGGAGACCACATCAGTGTTACCAGATCTGCCCATTCTCTCCCCCTCCCCGCACTGGTCCCTCCGGACACTGCAGCCCCCAGGAAGGACTGGTTCTGCCTGGTATCTGTCCTACAGTCAGCTATTTCCCCTGGCTAGCAGGCTCCCATCACTTCCTGCTAATGAAGAGTGGCGGAGCTTCACCTTCTGGCCAGGGCTGGAGAGGGGCAGCTTCCCATCTCAGGGGAAGTTCTTCCTTCACCGAGCAAGTGCCAGACTCTGAGTTCAAACCCAAGTACGACCAAAAAGAGACAACAAAAAGATATCAATGAAAGAAACAAAAAAGAAAGCATTGTTGGAATCACAGTGTATACAGATTTTTTTCAGGTCGACATATAGATTATGCATATAATATATATAATAATTATGCATAATATATAACATAATAATATATATTATGCATTGGTCATGGGTCTTGAACTCAGAGGCTGGGTGCTGTCCCCAAGTTCCTTTGCTCAAGGCTAGTGCTCTACCATTTTGAGCCACAGTGCCATTTCCAGTTTTTTGGTGGTTAATTGGCAGTAAGAGCCTCACAAGGCCATGTGCTGGTGGCTCACACTTGAAATCCTAGCTACTCAGGAGGCTGAGATCAGAGGATCACAGTTCAAAGCCAGCCTGGACAGGAAAGTCCATGAAACTTTATCTCCAATTAACCACCAGAAAACTGGAAGTGGTGCTGTGGCTCAAGTGGTAGAGAACTCACCTTGAGCTGAAGAGCTCAGGAACAGCACCCAGGCCCAGAGTTCAAGCTCTATGACCAACAAAAAAACAAAAAAGAAAAAAGAGCCTCACAGACTTTTCTGCCCATGCTGGCTTTGAACTGTGATCCTCAAATGTCAGCCTCCTGAGTAGCTAGGATCGCAGGTATGAGCCACTGGTGCCTTGATCTGCTTATTTTATTTTTAAAAACTACAACGTTAAATAAGGTATCTAGTGCAATGGTGCCCCCTTCTGGGACTCTGGCAACATGCACTTAAGTCAGTTTTCTTGGTAGCAAGGAAGGATGGAGCCATTGCCAACTTCTGCTTCTCTTGTCTCCATGGACACAGACAGTCTTGATTTGCTTCTAGCTGGTCTCTCTTTTTGCTTTGACCTTCCCCAGGAGCTGCGATCTTCCAGATTGTCCCTTTCATTCATGCATGTATTCCATTTTCTGTTGTGGTAAGTCCTGCAAGTAGGTGTGTACACACACAACTCATTTGCATTATATTATTATTGTTATTATTATTATTTTGGTTGGTTGTGGAACTTGAATTCTGGGCCTGGGCATTTTCCCTGAGCTCTTCAGCTCAAGGCTAGCGCTCTACCACTTGAGCCACAGTGCCACGTCCATTTTTTTTTAATGTGGTGCTGAGGAATCAAACTCAGGGCTTTATGCGTGCTAGGCAAGTATAAGCCACATTTCCAGCCCCTATATTACTATTATTATTATTATTAATAATAATAATGTATTTTTATTGTAAAGATACTGTACGGGAGTTACGGTTACATGAGTAAGGTAATGAGTCCATTTCCTATTGAGCATTGTTACCCCCTCCTTTGTTTTTCCCTTACTATCCCTTTCCTTCCCACCTCCCCAACTCCTCCCTCCCCCACCCAAAGTTGTAAAGTTTGTTTTCAACATAGTGTCTTGTACACTTGTTGTTACAATGTCAACCTGTATCCTTATTTCAGCTTTTTGTTATTTCCCTTGTATATACAAGATGCAGGACACTGGGATCAAATACAGTGATAATAGAGGTTATACCATGGGGGAAGAACATACAAAGAAACAAAAAAATCACATAGTACATTATAAGTACATTAAAAAGAACAGCAAGAAAGATAAAATCTCTTGTGTCCCTATTTTGGAGTTCCTTTCACTTAGCATCAGCTTATCTGGTCATATGCACATAGCTTTTGACCTCTTCTGCTTGTCCTAGACATATAGTAATTATTGCAGATAAGGGAAACTATGGGACCTATATTTCTTTGGGTCTGGTATTATTATTATTATTATTGTCATTGTCATTATTATTGCTGGTTTTGAACTCAGGGCCTGGGAACTGACCCTAAACTTCTTTTCCTTAAGACTAGTGCTCTACCACTTTGAGCCACAGCTCCACTCCTTGTTTTCTGGTTGTTAATTGGAGCTAAGAGTCTCCCAGACTTTTCTGCCCAGTCTGGCTTTAAAAAACAATCTTCATACCTCAGCCTCCTGAGCAGCTGGGATTACAAGCATGAACCACCAGCACCTTACTTACTCAGGGCTTGAGCACTATCCCTGAGCTTCTTTTGCTCAAGGCTAGCACTCTACCACTTGAGCCACAGTACTACTTCTGGCTTCTTCTGTTTATCGGGTACTGAGGAATTGAACCAAGGGCCTCATGCATGCTAGGCAAGCACTCTACCACGAAGTACACTCCTAATCCCCATTCTTATTAATTTTTTTTGGACGGTAAAGGGACTTGTTTTCTAGGCAAGTGCTCTACCACTTCAGCCATGCTTCCAGTCCTCCCCACTCCTTTTGTGTTAGTGCTAGGGCTAACTTGCTTGCCTGAGCACTGTTCCTGAGCTTTTTCACTCAGAGCTGGTGCTCTACCACTTGAGCCACAGCTCCATTTCTGGCTTTTTTGAGCTTCATTGGAGAGAAGAGTCTCACAGATTTTCCTGCCCACAAAGCCGAAAGTGGAAGAGTGGCTCATGCCTGTAATCTTAGCTACACAGGGGACTGAGATCTGAGGCTGGTGGTATGAAGCCAACCCCAGAAAGAAAATCTGTGAGACTCTTATCTCCAATTAACCATCAAAAAGCCAAAAGTGAAGCTGTTGCTCAAGTGATAGAGTTATAGCCTTGAGCACAAAACCTCAGGGACAGTGCCTAGACCCTGAGTTCAAGCCCCAGTACTGGCACAAAAGAAAGAAATCATTGCAATCTCTTGTGTCTTGGTCTAGGTTCCCAAGCTGTCAGCCCCTATGTGTGGGAGCAGGAAAGGGATGAGATTTATAAAGGCACTGACCCAGTGGAAGGCTGGAGTTGGTGAGTGACAGGATGGGAAAAAGAGTCTCCAGAGGCCTGGGAATGTGTTTAAGTGGTATCACTTTGCTTGAGTTCCCCTGTCCTCTTTGAACCTCCGTTTCCTCATCTGTGAAATGAGAGCATTGGGTAATAGCCAGGAAGATACTTGGGGGTCACAGGGGCTTTGTACACAGCAGGTACTCAGTCTCTAGGCCTCTGTTCTAGCTCTCAGGTTCCTACATCCCTTCCAGTCTAGAGGAGATTAAGCCAGGACTCCTGGGTTCTTCTGGGATAGGGTGAGACTCAATGTGGAGAGGGAGGGGGGGCTCCTCAGGGTGCTGTGGGGTGGAGGACTTGAAGGCTGGGCAGACACAGGAGCATGGACATACACAGTGATGAGAAGGCTGGGTGCTGGTATTCCTGCCTGTAATCCTAGCTACACAGGAG